ACAGGGAGAGGTGAATTGATTGGAGTGTGCTGCTACTCGTTTCACTGTCTAATCAAAGGCTGGGGTGGGTCCAGGATGATCTGGGCTCAGAGGACGTGAGTTCCATGAGTCCAGCCATCAGGTTAAAGACATGTATCAGAAAAAAAAGTACTATGGGAGCAAATCTCTGCAGTGATCAATATTGCAGCAAACTCTTGTTCTGTTATGAATAGGACAAAAAGGTAAAGTATTTATCTTGTGATTTTTGGAGAGTACTGCTTAAAAAATGGAGATGGTGTGGCCCATTTTACCATTCAAAAACAACAGTTGGATTCTTCACAGCTATGTACAAAGTCACAAAATGTCCTTTCCTACTATATGGCCAAATGTATGTGAACACCTAAGCATCACAAACTAAATGAGCTTGTTGGACATTCCTTTTTAGAATCATGAGCAATAATTAAAGGGTCTCCTTTGCAGTTATTACAACTCGTTACTGTACTGGGAAGGTTTGACTCAAGATTTTGGATTTGCATGTGTTAGTTGAGCTCATTCAGATAAATTAGCATTGTTTAGTTTAGATACTAATTTTGGACAAGAAGACCAGGCTGATGGTAGTTAGCATTCCAATTCAAGGGTGTTCAGTAGGGTTGATGTCAAGGCTCTGTGCAAGGGCAAGACTCATGGTCTTCCACATCGAACTCATCAAACCATGTCTTCTTTATGGTTGTTGGCTTTGTGCACAAGGGTGCAGTCATGCTGGAACGGAAAGAAAATGCATATTTATAGCACATATTTGTAGCATTAATTAGTACCCTTCACTGGAAACACCAGAGATTAACAATTTTTTTGAGGGATGTCCACATATTTTTGCCCATTTGGGTTGGTTGATGCAAGATTGTCAACCATGTGGTTAAATGTCCATTTCTAGGAGCATCTGTTCCTTTACTAAAAAGTAAGGTGTCAGTCCCTCTTGCAGTCGATTGGAGTTCTGCTCGCAGACTCTCCTCTCCATACATGAAGCAGATTAAACTCTGCGCAGCAGGCAGGGACTTTATGCACAACTTAAGTTGTTGCACGACATGCATCTTAGCGCTTGCTGGGTCAATGCCGAACAAGTCAATGTCGAATCGATATGTGGTATCTGTGTAAGGCACTGGAAATGCTGGAGTACCAAGGCTGAGGAACCAACAGAAAGAGAGTGGTAGAGATGGTGATCCTTCTGCTCACTTTTGTCTCCTGATTAGTTTGCTGGTTGCCATGCACTGTCGCTTGTATTTGTGCTTGTGTGAGTAGATCCAAGAGATTTTCCTTTCAAAAAGCATCTCCAAATTGGACTTTTGGGGTGGTAAGTGGCAAAGCCATCCTGGATCAGGTGACCCCAGGAAGCAGATCTTCTGCAGTCTTTGTCCCATCAAAAAGACTGAGAACTTCAGAAGGTTCCAGAATGGTGTAATTATTCAACTGGCCTACATTGTCCAGACGAGCCTCCAACAACATGATGTTTTCCTCAAGTTGGTCAGAGGGAAGAATCATAGACACCAGAGCCTGTAGAAGAAAAGACTGAATGCATTGGCATGTATGAAGCCTTAAGTAGAACTATTATTATAGTTGTATTTATATAGCGCCAAAGGTTTGCTCAGCGTGTACATTTAGAATGGGGGACAAGACATGAGACAATACAGTAGCAAAAACAATACACGATACACGAGGGTTAGAGGGCCCTGCCCTTTCGAGCTTACAGTCTATTGGCAAAATTTAAAAAAATGACATGTTATGATGTGATTTGTCACTAGCACTAACACAACAGTTTCTCTGTTCACAGTTCAGCTTTAGCTCCTTTACAATTCTGCTCATTTCTGCAGTGAAAATCACACAGCACTGTTGCCACCCTTTTTTTGGGTAGGATAGTCATATTAAAGCCCAACTCCTCCTTAAAATTTTTAAGCACTTACAGTATTTTTTTTTTTTTTTTAATTTTGAAAAAGGTTTAAAACTATGCAAATAAAAGGGGGACCATCGTAACCCTCCCCAGCAGTGTTGCATGCCCCAACCCAATCTAACTGGCCAGCTTGGCCTGCTACAGGAAGTGGAAAATTATAATCTTCTGGACGATCAATGGGTAATGAAACAATGTTGATGGGAAGTGCCCAAAACCCCAAACTGCTGTGTTATAATGCTATTGATTGCAAGAGATTTTCTTTTACCTTTTTATTGTGTCTTGAGATAGGAAGTGAAGTAAAATTTCTCCAAAGGAAAACAGGCAGCAGCAAAAAATACCTGAGAGAGTTTCAGCCATATCCTACTCTGTCCAAACTATATTAAAAAGTTTTGGCACTGATATCCTCCAAGCCCCACTACACATGAATTCAAAGCTAATTGGATGGGCAAAACTTGAGACATCTTGCTTGTGTTCAAAGCTAGCCTCCCCACCACCATTCTGCCTAACTATTGGTCCATCACTTTAATAGGCTGCCTCACTGGGAAACTAGAATGTGTTTTAGTTTAGGAAGAGGGGACAAGATTCAACACTACCAGAAATGTCAGAGCTTCAGCCAATCAGAATAGGTTGATAGATTTTCAAGAGGAACATATGTTCACAATTTAGACATCATTATTATATCTTTGGAGCTAAGTTGAATGCAAGAAGATATTAAACAAGGTTAATATATTGTGGCAGGAAGCAGAGAGATGAAAGTAAAGAACTCTCAGTAAGCAGGCATCAAAAAAGAATCTTCCAGCAACAAATAAGATAAAGCACTGAAAACTGCAAACATGCCAACATTCCCAGATTTACCTGCAGAGTCCCACATCTTGGCCCCCTGTTCTGCCAAGGATATGTCTTGGGCCATGTCCTGGGATCATGGCATCGAGTTCATTTGATATTATGCTATATCGGGGGGTGAGGAGCAGGGCCATGAGTGGTCAGTCCCACATATTTAAAGGTGGGATCTGGGAGAGATCAACCTACAAAGTAGACAGAACAGATTTTTCTACTCAGGCTGGAGAAGGATGGGAGTTCCCGGTAGATCCAAGCTTTATAATGCATGCAATGGCAAGCTGCAGTTTCTAACAGTGATCAAAAATCCTCTCTTGTATTAAAAGAGATATAGACTCCAGAGAGAGAGATATAATTTCCTCGGTACAAATCATTAGTAAGACCTCATTTGGAATCTGCAGTTCAGTTTTGGGCAACCAACTCCCAGAAAGAACATTGGGGAACTGGAGAAAGTACAGAGAAGGGCAACTAAAACTGATAAGAGGCATGGAGGAGATCAGCTATGAGGAAAGATTAGAGGAACTGAATTTATTTCTCTTGCAGAAGAGGAGATTAAGGGGGGGGATATGATCTCCATGTATAATACATAAGGGGGGGGATATGGATCTCCATGTATAATACATAAGGGGGGGATATGATTCCATGTATAATACATAGGAGGGGGGATATGATCTCCATGTATAATACATAAGGGGGTGGATCTTGATCTCCATGTATTAATACATAAGGCGGGGGATATGTTCTCCATGTATAATACATAACGGGGGGGATATGATCTCCATGTATAATTACATAAGGGGGATATGATCACCATGTTATATAATACATAAGGGGGGATATGATCCACCATGTATAATATCATCAATGGGGGGATATGGGGGGATATGATCTCCATGTATAATACATAAGGGGGGATATGATCTCCATGTATAATACATAAGGGGGGGATATGATCACCATGTATAATACATAAGGGGGGATATGATCTCCATGTATAATACATAAGGGGGGTATGATCTCCATGTATAATACATAAGGGGGGGATATGATCTCCATGTATAATACATAAGGGGGGATATGATCTCCATGTAATAATACATAAGGGGGGATATGATCTCCATGTATAATACATAAGGGGGGGATCTATGATGATCTCCATGTATAATACATAAGGGGGGATATGATCTCCCTGTATAATACATAAGGGGGGATATGATCTCCATGTATAAATACATCAGTGGTTCATATTGTGAACTCAGTGTAGAGCTATTCACCCTGAGGGTCATCTTGGAGGACAAGGGGGCGCTCTTTACGTCTGGAGGAAAAGAAATTTAATCTCCAAACACGGAAAGGTTTCTTCACAGTAAGAGCTGTGAAAATGTGGAATAGGACTCCCTCAAGAGTTGGTTCTGGCCAGCTCTGTGGATTGCTTCAAAAAAGTCCTGGATTCTTTCTTAGGTACACAGAATATAACTGGATACTAACATTCATTTATAGGTAAGTTGATCCAGGGGAATATCCGATTGCCTCTCAGGGGATCCTAAAGGAATTTTTTTCCCAGCAGGAGCAAATTGGATCATGCTTTGCTGGGTTTTTTTTTGCCTTCCTCTGGATCAATTGTGGGTACAGGATTATAACTTTTTTTTGTTTTTAATGGGTGAACTGGATGGACTTTTGTCTTTTTTCAGCTAGACTAACTATGTAACTATGGAAGTCTGTGGCTGCTTTCTAAAAACAAGCTAATTTTGCTTTGATGTGCCTTTGATGTATTTAGCTGATTTAAACTGAAATATCAGTTGAGCTACACTCACCAGCCACTTTATTAGATACACCTGTACAATTGCTTGATAACACAAATTTCTAATCAGCCAATCACATGCCAGCAACTCAATGCATTTAGGCATCTAGACGTGGTGAAGATGACTTGCTGAAGGTCAAACCGAGCAGCACCAGAATGGGGAAAAAAGGGATTTACTGTAAGTGACTTTGAACGTGGCATGGTTGTTGGTGCCAGATGGGCTGGAATGAATATTTCAAAAACTGCTGATCTACTGGGATTTTCACGCACAACCATCTCTAGGGTTTACAGAGCATGGTCTGAAAAAGACAAAATATCCAGTGAGCGGCAGTTGTGTGGATGTTTATGTCAGAAGGCAGAGGAGAATGGGCAGAATGCTTCAGCTGCGACATTCAGATAGTGGGGGTCAGAATTTGTCATAAACAACAATCATGAAAGCAATGGATCAGGGACGGACTGACTATTTGGAAACTCGGGCACTGGCCGAGGGCCCGGGGTCAGTAGGGGGCCCCATGAGATGCCTCTGGTACCTTTTTCATAGGCTTTTTTGAGTTTGGGCAAGGACACAGGGGCCCCATGATCCCCTATTGCCGGGGGGGGCCCCATGAGTTGTCAGTCCGCCCCTGGCATGGATCCATCCTGCTTTGTATCAATGGCTCAGGCTGGTGGTGGTGTAAAAATGTGGGATATATTTTCTTGGCACTAGCAAGGTGTACCTAACAAAGTGGCCAGTGAGTGTATATTCTCAATTCTTTTAAAATAAACACATAAAAAGATTGGATTGATGGAAAAATAATATATGACATTTCTATATATAATATGTAATTATATGCTGTATGTAAGTGGGGGAAGCTATGTGTGCTCATTACACATTCAAGCTTTGCTTCTGCCTTTGTAATGCAAAAATCATGGTTGTGCTGCAAAAAACTGTCTCTTTGTTAGGAAGCTAGTAGGTGGCAACATTATTAAAAATCACTGCTCCCTGCCAAACAGAATTTTTTAAAATGTATTTTTGCTTTGGTATATTCTCCAGCCAATACTTTCTATTTGTGAAAATCCCTTGCCTATTAGCCCAGAAAATGGCCATTACTCTTTTTGTCAACATTTCGACTCCAATAGGCTTCAATGGATTTGAGATTCACTACCCAAACTTTTATGGAGTTCTGTAAACCTGCCCCAAACCAGTCCCAGGTACGTTTGGATCATTCCAAGTATTGTAAATCTGTTCAACTTCATTATTTTTTTAACATTTATGCTTGCCACCACATGGCAGTCTGTAAACAGGATGAACCACTTGTTACTAGCTTTTAATTGCAAAATCAACCAAATGTTTTAGGGTAATCTACCACCAACACTTTTGATCATTTTGCAGAAACTCTTGGTGGTTGGTGTCATTCTTCCATAAAATGTTTTTTTGTTGTTGTTTTTTACAATGGTTAACTATGACAAAATGTTGTTAAATGGTAACTGACAAAAATTTTCATGCATGTGGCAGGGGCGGACTGACAACTCATGGGACCCCCGGGCAATAGGGTATCATGGGGCCCCTGTGTCCTTGCCCAAACTCAAAAAAGCCTATGAAACAGGCATCAGGGGCATCTCATGGGGCCCCATACTGACCTCGGGCCCTCGGGCAGTGCCCGAGTTTCCAAATGGTCAGTCCGCCCCTGGCATGTGGTCTTCATAAAAGAGGCAAATAACTCCAGCTTGGAAGGGAAAAAAAAAATATTTTTTGAAGGTTCTTTAACAAAATGTCTAATTTGAGTTCTTCTGTAATGAGCAGACAATGTGGGAATCTCCATATGGTAAAGAATTGCAGCGCTATTCACAAAATGGCAATAAATTAAATTGTGACAGTAAAGTCCATGTGGAGTTCTCATATATAGAAGTAGAAAACCATACATAAGAGAATTCCAATCCAAGGAGGAGACCGTAGCAGAAAAATTGACCGCCCAACGGTTTGGCCAATGTAAGCAGTATAATAAATCCCGTAGATGCTGCAACCCGGTCTTATATGGGAAACACTCATAGGGCAATCCAAGAAATTTCTCCAAATAGAACTTCAGGAAGCAAATTTTCCATCAGGCAACCACAACACCACATATAAAGAAAAATTGCCAGCTCATAGTGTAGTGGATTAGTAGCACAAAATGATTTATTAAAATTGCACCTACATAGCAAGAAACAGCATGACAGTAACAATGTAGTAAGTTTAAAACCAGCAAGATGGCCGCTGTCCCTCCAGAGCGTGATGGCGTCACATGGCGTGGCTCCATCCTACGCGTTTTGTCATCAGAAGACATCATCAGGGGATTGCCCTGGATGTTTCCCATATAAGACCGGTTGCAGCTTCTACTGGATTTATTATACTGCTTATGTTGGCCGACCCGCTGAGCGGTCAGTTTTTCTGGTGAGAGGCCAATTTATTTGGGTGGAAGGTGACTGTCTCATTTTGGATTGGAACTCTCTTTCCAATGCACAGTTTTCTACCTCTATATATGGGAACTCCAAATTTAATTAATTGCCATTTTTGTGCATGGGGTCTTTTTTTGTTCAATTTCGCGCTGCAATTCTTTACCATATGAATGTTTTTGTCTGCCTATATATGTGCAAGCTGCTTTGTCCTTATTGAAATTCCGGGCGCAGTGTTTTTGGTATATATATTTTTGAGAATGTGGGAATCTATTCAATGGTAGGAAGAATAAGAACATAAAGAGTACCCTGGAGGCGATCACTTTGTACTTCTTCAGCATTCCCGGGGGAGGGTCCTCTGCCCGGGTCAGACGAATTCTTTTCACTTGTGGGTGGTCAGAATGAAGTTTGTCCAAGATAAATTTTTCAATTGTCCCAGCTACACCTTGTCCTCTCATCCAGGGGGCCACACGAAGACCTTGCACCACAGCAGTCTCACCGCCATCAACAAGTAAGAAGGACTCAAAGCCTACCTGGAGAAGAGACACCAGCAAGACATGTTCAGGTGAAGACAACTGGTTGGACAACAACATGAATCATGATATTTTTTTCCCCTCGAGAAAATAATATGCATGTCCAATGTTTAGTATACCATAGAATTCATAAATCACAGTTGCCTAGATTCCTGAATTATATGATGCCTGATGAGCAGACAGCACTACAGGCAAAAAATAAAGAGCATCAGAAAGTGATGTATTGGTGATTAAACTGACCCGATCATTCCTATTTGTAGCATTTTCTAGAAAACTGTTGACTATTCACATTATTTCCTGATCACTAGGGAAGGTTAATCTAATATGCCCACAGCAATCATATAAACTCTAGACCTGCCTTATATAATGAGTATATGGCTATCTCTCCAAAATATTGAGTTGAGGTATTTCTAATAAAGGGTACTGTTAATGCTACAGCATACAAAAAATGTAGATAATAGTGGACTCCCAACATTTTGGCAACAGGTAGGAGATGGTCCTTTCTGTTCCAGCATGACTGTGTCCCTGTGCACAAAGCCAGCTCCATAAACATTTAGGTTGGAAATTTTGGTATGGAGGAACTTGAGTGGTTTGCACATAGCCCTGACCTCAACCCTACTGAACATCTTTGAGATGAGTTGGAACCCAAATTTTAAGCAAGGTCTCCTCCATTACCTGACCTTACAAAAGTTACTTTGGCTAAATGAGTACAAATAATCTCTGGGGTTTACACATAGAAAAGATGATCTCCATGAACTGGAGGAAAAGAAATTTAATCTCCAAACACGAAAAGGTTTCTTCACAGTGAGAGCTGTGAAAATGTGGAATAGATTCCCTCTAGAGTTGGTTCTGGCCAGCTCAGTGGACTGCTTTAAAAAAGGCCTGGATTGTTTCTTAGATACACAGAATATAACTGGATATAACATTTATAGGTAAAGTTGATCCAGGGAATATCCGATTGCCTCTCGGGGGATCAGGAAGGAATTTGTTTCACTGCAGGTGCAAATTGGATCATGCTTTGCTGGGGGTTTTTTGCCTTCTCCTCTGGGATCAACTGTGGTTGTAGGATTATAAGTTTTTTTTTTTATTAATGGTTGAACTGGATGGACTTTTTTTCAGCCAGACTAACTATGTAACTATGTATGTAACATTTACAGTTGCAAGAAAAAGTATGTGAACCCCTTGGGATTACGTGGAGTTTTGCATGAATTGGGCATAAAATGTGCTCTGAACGTCATCTAAGTCACAACAAAATAAGAACACAATCTGCTGAACATAATACTACACAAACATTAGATGTTGCCATGGTTTAATTGCACATAACATGTAAACATTCACAGTGCAGGGAGGAAAAAGTATGTGAGGCCCTAGCTTAATGACTTCTCCCAGAGCTAATTGGAGCCAGGAGTGAGCCAACCTTGACTCCAATCAGTGTGATGATATTGGATGTGTTGCTGACAGCTGTCCTGCCCTTAAAAAACACACACCTGTTTTGGGTTTACTGGTTTCAAGAAGCACTGTCTGATGTGAACCATGCCTCGCAGAAAAGAGCTCTCAAAAGACCTACGATCAAGAATTGTTGACTTGCATGAAGCTGGAAAGGGTTACAAAAGTATCTCCAAAAGCCTTGATGTTCATGTGTCCACGGTAAGACAGACTGTCTACAAATGGAGAAAGTTTAGCACTGTTGCTACTCTCCCTAGGCGCGGTCGTCCTGTAAAAATGACTGCAAGAGCACAGCGCAGAATGCTGCATGAGGTAAAGAAGAATCCCAGAGTGTCAGCTAAAGACCTACAGAAATCTCTGGCACATGCTAACATTTTTGTTGACACATCTACAATAAGGAAAACATTAAACAAGAATGGAGTACATGGGAGGACACCACGGAGGAAGCCATTGCTGTCCAAAAAGAATATTGCAGCACGTTTGAAGTTTGCAAAAGAGCACCTGGATGTTCCACAGCACTACTGGCAAAATATACTGTGGACGGACGAAACCAAGATTGAGTTGTTTGGGAAGAACACACAACACTATGTGTGGAGAAAAAAAGGCACAACACACCAACATCAAAATCTCATCCCCACTGTAAAACATGGTGGAGGGAGCATCATGGTTTGGGGCTGCTTTGCTGCCTCAGGGCCTGGACAGATTGTCATTGATGGGAAAATGAATTCCAGAGTTTATCAAGAGATTTTGCAGGAAAACGTACGACCATCTGTCCGCCAACTGAAGCTCCGCAGAGGATGGGTGATGCAACAGGACAATGACCCAAAGCATACAAGTAATTCAACAAAACAATGGCTGCAACAGCACAGAATACGCCTTCTGGAGTGGCCCAGTCAGAGTCCTGACCTCAACCCGATTGAAATGCTGTGGCATGACCTTAAGAGAGCGATTCACACCAGACATCCCAAGAATATTGCTACACTGAAACAGTTTTGTGAAGAGGAGTGGTCCAAAATGACTCCAGATCGTTGTGCAGGTCTGATCTGCAACTACAGGAAACGTTTGGTTGAGGTTATTGCTGCCAAAGGAGGGTCAACCAGTTATTAAGTCCAAAGGTTCACATACTTTTTCCTCCCTGCACTGTGAATGTTTACATGTTATGTGCAATTAAACCATAGCAACATCTAATGTTTGTGTAGTATTATGTTCAGCAGACTGTGTTCTTCTATTGTTGTGACTTAGATAACGTTCAGAGCACATTTTTATGCCCAATTCATGCAAAACTCCACGTAATCCCAAGGGGTTCACATACTTTTTCTTGCAACTGTACAGTCTGGCTCTGTGCAGATTTTTGAGAAAAAGCAGTGAGCCAATCACAGAAGCGGGAGGGAGCTTTCTGACGTATCCTGTACACAAATTGTGCATAGAATGCCCTCAGTCTGCCATACTGGAAAGAAGCAACATTTGCATTGGTTTAGCATTTGGACTGAAGACTGAAATGGACAGGTCATTTTAAAAGAACACCACATTATTGAATAGCTTACTAATAGATGTTGTGTATATTTGTTTATATTTGTGTATATTTGTTTGGTTCTCCTCTTACCTATCCCAACGCTCCTTCAGCGTCACCTATAACGCTGCCACCTCCCCCTCTCTCCCCTCTCTGTTGGGGTCCCCCAAGGCTCTGTCCTCGGACCCCTTCTTTTCTCCCACTACACCTCCTCCTTTGGCAAACTGATACACTCACACGGCTTCAACTATCACCTCTATGCCGATGACACACAAATTTACCTCTCCACCCCTCACTTCACCCCCTCAGTCTGCGCCTGTATCACCCACCTCCTAAACGACATATCAGACTGGATGTTGCTCCATTTCCTCAAGTTAAACCTCTCCAAAACAGAGCTCCTAGTTTTCCCCCCAGCCCGAGCCCCCCCCGTCCATCCTCTCCATCACAACTAACAATGCCACCATCAATCCACACCCCGCAAGCCAAAGTCCTGGGTGTCACCCTGGACTCAAACCTTTCCTTCCAACCTCATGTCCAATCATTATCAAATTCATGTATGCTCCACCTCCGCAACATCTCCAAGATACGTATGTTCCTCACCCCAGACACTCTACTAAACAACTCATTCACTCCCTTATTATCTCACGCCTGGACTACTGCAACTCCCTTCTCTACCCCAACACAGGCTATCCCCACTCCAGTCTATCCTGAACTCAGCGGCCAGACTCATCCACCTCACCAACCGCTCCACTTCTGCCACCCCCCTCTGCTGATCTTTTCACTGGCTCCCGATTGCCCAACGCATTAAATTCAAATTACTAACTCTGACATACAAAGCCATTCACAACGCCGCCCCAAACTACCTCACTGACCTGATACCCAAATATCACCCAACCCGTGCTCTTCGCTTCTCACAAGACCTCCTACTTTCTAGCTCCCTGGTCTCCTCCTCCCACGCCCGACTGCAGGACTTCTCAGGACTTCCCCCATCCTCTGGAACTCCCTACCCCAATCCATCAGACTGTCACCTACCCTCCTCACCTTTAGGCGCACCCCGAAAACCCATCTCTTCAGGGAAGCCTACCCCACCCTCACCTAACAGCCGATCTCCTCCACTCCTCCTACCACTCCATCCCCCACAGCCACTTCCTCCTGTACCACTACCCCCTCCCTCCTAGATTGTAAGCTCTAAAGAGCAAGGGCCTCGTACCCCTCGTGTATTGTTTTGTTACTGTATTGTCTCATGTTCTGTCCCCCACTATAATGTACAGCGCTGAGCAAACCTTTTGGCGCTATATAAATACTGTATAATAATAATAAGAAGAAGAAGTGGAGTTTTCTTTTAAACCTCTTCATCAGCTGGAAAATAAATTTGAAGCATCAACAATTTTCTTGTATTTTATAGTACATTTGCATCAAGCTCATACGCCAGTGCACACCTGCAGAGTTTTTACAGCAAATGCTTATGAATCCATTTATGATTCATTAGGAAATTATGGGTCATTCAAGTGTCACACATTTCTCAAAATAGAAACTCATGGTTTAAAACTAAAAAATCCGATTAGGTTTAATTTATGGAAGTTTTACAAAAGAAGTAAAACCCAATTTTCAATTTAATTTAGTAGAAGTTCAGGTTTTTATTGACATCCATGAATCTAGTATATTGATGTCAGCCTTTCATAGCACAGATTCATTTTTAAAGCGAACCTGTGCATTGCCCATGAAAACCAAAGACCACCTCCTATAGCAGCACATACTCCGCTTTCTTTTGCTTCCTTCACCTATTGAGAGAAAAACAAATATCAAGCATTTCTATTTATGGAGGTGCATGTGACTTATTCAGTGTGACAGATAGGAAAGGGTAATTGGATCCAGGGGCGGACTGGCCATTTGGAAACTCAGGTACTGCCCGAGGGCCCGGGTCAGTAGGGGGCCCCATGAGATGGAACCCTGGATGACCAACTGGCTGACGCGTTTCGAGGACTCAGCCTCTTCCTTCAGAGCCATAGCAGCCAGTTGGTCATCCAGGGTTCCATCGTATGGACTCAGATGCTATTTGGATTGAACACCTTGTTCATTGTGATATGCCTGTGTTTTATATGTCCATTGTGAGTATGATAATTACCTTTTTCTCTCAATAAATATTTTTAAACGATAATGCACTAGGCCGGTGCGCCCTCTTATTGTTTTTTCATTTGCATTTACTGTGAACACAATACTCCTCAGAGAGCGTGGACAAAATTCAAATGATGGTCATAGACTGAGAACATGGTACAGGAGAAGGTCAGAGGCTACAGACATGAAACAGGAGACTGTCAGAGACTATGGAGATACTGTAGGAGATTTCAGAGACTGGGGACATGCTTCAGGAGACCGTCACAGACTGGAGACACAGTCAGGGGCGGACTGACCATTTGGAAACTCTGACACTGCCCGAGGGCCCCAGGGTCAGTAGGGGGCCCCATGAGATGCTCCTGGTACCTTTTTCATAGGCTTTTTTGAGTTTGGGCAAGGACACAGGGGCCCCATGATCCCCTATTGCCCGGGGGCCCCATGAGTTGTCAGTCCGCCCCTGATTGGATCAGAGATGTCATATGTTAGCAAGCAGGTCCTCAGCCGTGTGTAAGCTCCTGAAGACCTGGAGAATCTCAGAACTTGGAGAGAGGTAAAAAGGCAGCACTAAGTCACATGAACTAATTGATCCAAGAACTGTGTTCAAAAAAGTGAAAATAAATTGTGCCTTCATATAAACTCATATGTAAATACATATTGTAATTAACACAATTTTAAAAAAAACTACAGGTGGTAGTGCATACATGAAACCACATGTAAAAACCAGGCAAAAATTTCATAAATTGTCTCTGTGTATGCTCAAAATTCTATGTCGGTATTGCCAACCGTCAGTATTTTTACTGGCAACCAGTAAAAAACGGGCACTTTTCTCCTGCCAGTAAATGCCAGTGACAAAAAAAGGCTGCCTGTTAAAAATATGGCTGTGACGCTTGCCTCGGAACTGCGCATTCGCAGTTCCAGCCCAAAGCCCGTTGAGACCATCTGAGTGTCTGCTACAGTGTGTTAAGGCAGCACCGGTGGGAGGCGGGTCTGATGAAGGTGGTGCCTGAACGTGTCATGTGATGTCATGGTGCAAGGGAACCGAGCAGAGTGCCCGGAGCCTCATGTGCGGGTCAGCCGGACAGGAGTTAGTGCTGTTTGGACTGGAGTGGACTGAAGGGTCCACCTGGCATGGATAGAGACTGTCACCGTGACTCAGGAGTGGACGTGTCATGTCGGTGAGATGTCATCATCATCTACTCTGCTGCACACTGCTGTCAGTGTCACTTTGAGAGTCAATTTTTGTGTGGGAGTCTGCCCATTCTAATTTCTTACCCCCCTGAGTCCTGTCCGTGAGCTACTTACTCACTATATAGATAATAAAATAGGAAATGTGTTTTTTGCCTTAATAGCTACCTTAAATCATATTGCCAATTGCAAATTGTACTTGTTTGTAGCCTGAATACTGAAATTTGCTCTAAAAACTATAATTGTTTCACTTTTGGAAATGCCAGTAAAAAACTTGGCTGTGCCAGTAAAATTTGGGTGTCCCGTCAATGAATTTTTATCTGGTAAGTTGGCAACACTGTTTTACATACATACTTGGTTGAAAAACAGTGCTGAAAACTGTTGAGCACAAAGCTCAGTGCAAAAAAATAATGCATCATTCATAAACGATACATGTCAAGACTCAAGAGTTAACCAAATTATAAGAAGTACACAGAACATAAGTACCATCAATATAAATGAAAAAAAGTCCTTGTGAAGAAGTGGAATCCAGAAGATAGATACTCCTTATAGCAATTTCCCCCAGTGTAGCGGAATCCATGTGCCCAAATAAAAAAACTTTTACCACAGCTCAATGACTTTCACATATAGAGCATAGGACAAGCATAGGAACCCTATTGGCCAGCGCAGCCTTCATCCCAGCAGCTCCGGTTGTGGATATCCAGCTTATAACCTTCACAGATATAGAACATAGGAGAAGAACGTCATATACAACTGCAGTATTACTACCAGTTAAACATGGCTGCTTCCCACTGTCAATGGTTATTAACCACTTGAGCTCCAGAGGATTTACCCCCCTTAATGACCAGGCCTCTTTTTGCTACTCGGCGCTGCACTAATTCAACTGATAATTGCGCGGTCATGCAATGCTGCACCCAAAGGAAATTTACATCCTTTTTTTCACACAAATAGAGCTTTCTTTTGGTGGTATTTGATCATCTGTGCGCTTTTTTTTTTTCACGCTATAAACAAAAAAAGGCCAAAAATTTGGAAGAAAAACAATATTTTTTACTTTCAGCTATAAAAAATATATAGTAAACTCAAAGTTGGTTATAAATTTAGGGCCGAAATGTATTCTGCTCCATGTTTTTGGTAAAAAAATCCCAATGAGTGTGTATTGATTGCTTTGTGTGGAAGTTATAGCGTCTACAAACTATGGTATAAATACTGCAATTTACGCCATTTTTCTGCTATACAGCGCTGTGCTAGTTTAACGGACAATTGCGCGGTCATGCAATTTGGTACATAAATGAAATTTACATCCTTTTTTTCCCCACAAATTGAGCTTTCTTTCGGTGGTGTTTGATCCCCTGTGCGGTTTTTATTTTTTGTGCTATAAAAAAAAAAAAGGCTGACAATTTTGAGGAAAAAAAAAACAATATTTTGGACTATTTGCTATAAAACATGTCCAGTAAAAAAAAAAAATGCAAAAATCAAATTTTGTCATAAAATTTCTGCCAAAATGCATTTTGCGACATGTCTTTGCTACAAAAAAAAACCAATACGTGTAAATTAATTGGTTTACGTGAAAGTTATAGCGTTTACAAATGGCGGGAAAGATACTGGGATTTTTAGAGTTTTTTTTATACTAATAATGGCGGCGATCAGTGAATTATGGCGGCGATCAGGGACTTATGGCAGCGACCAGCGACTTATGGCGGGACTGCGGCGGACATTCTGACATTGGGGGGTACTGACTTGGGGTCACTGACATCCCCAAAAACACTAATACAGTGATCAGTGCAAAAAGAAAAACACTGACACTGTATTAATGGCAATGGGGAGGAAGGGGTTAACTTTATTTTGCAGGGAAGGGTTATCTGTCTGAGGGAGGTGTTTTACTAGGGGGCGGGGTGTGTACTGGGCGGGACACCGCTGATCGAGAGAGAGAGAAACTCTTCTCTCGATCAGCTCATCCTCGAGCTGACAGGGAAGTGACAGACAGCACAGCTACTGCAGCTGTGCTCTCTGTCACTGTTTACCGCTGATCGCCGGGAAACAGCCGCGAAGGACCGGCTGTGACCCGGCGACTGACATCCGCGGCGGTGATCGGCGGGACAGATAGGGCGGCGGCGCGCCTCGCGCGCGCCCCCTATTTGTTTACAAAACACGTTTTTAAAACGTGGTTTTGCCTGCCAGTGCCGCCCTGCTGCCGTATTTCTACAGTGGCTGGGCGGCAAGTGATTAAAAAACAGTTACATTCTTGGAATGTCACATTTACTTGTCTCCTCAACCAAAGTGTCAAACCATCAAATGGCTGGTGTCATAACTGATCACATGTGCAGCACCATGGCAGTTGCAGATCAAACAGAAGCAGATTCCTTGCTTGTAAAGGACAGGAGGGATTAATTCCGCATTAAGTCTAGGTAACACCTATGCATTTTGCAGAAAGGCACAGTAGCCCATTTAACATGATTTCCTATGGGACAGGTTCACATCTTCGCTTTTTTCACCCCGTGCATTTTTTGGAAAGGGTCAGGGATTTCTTTAAACGCAAAATGTTGCATTTTTGGTTCTATAGACTTCAATGGAGACTGCAGAAAAGCATGTAATGCATTTTTGATGCTTTTTTTTCTGCCCAGCAACAAGACATAAAAAAAGCAGCAAAAACGCATGTGCAAAAACGCAAAATGCACCACAAAAGGCACTGCAGAAACGCATCAAACGCAAATAGCATAGGTGTGAACCTAGCCTAAGGCTGTTAGCAGATTGGCCAGTACAAATTCAGCAGTGCCTAAAAATGCCTAAATGTGGAGAGCAACTGAGCATGTGCAGAGCAGGGTGAGATAGGGTACTACTGGATTCTAAACAGTATAGACACTTATTTTTAATGTTTTACATAGCTATACGTGCAAAAGGGGCCAGCATGAAGTGATCTAGCAGATAAAGTGGTTCTAAAGACTGAAGTTTGTTTTACCTTCATGCATTCTTTTATTTATTTATTTCAGGTACTTCTTAGCGCAGTCAATTTTACGCAGCGCTTTA